GAAACTGCTTTTCCTTCTCTCTGACATATACTGCAGGATAGTACTTTTGTTCTTTTAGAGGTGCTTGGCTAGCTGTGAATAATGCCTATGTAAATGAAAAAACATATTTTGTGCTTGTTTTAACAAAGAAAATAACGTCAAATTTGCAAAGAATGAACCTAATTTTTAATGCTTAAGGATGCCAATTGCTTGTGTTGCGTGTGAAAGCAAAGGATGGTCTATATATAGTTTTTAAGATTTTAAGATTCTCTAGAAACCAAAGTTTTTGAGAAAAGGACAATTTAAGGAAAAGGAGGGTGTAAATATGAGATATCACATGGTGGCATCTTCAGTACTTCTATCAAGCATAAAGTAGGTAACCCCACCTTAGCAAACAATGGCCAACATAATGCCTTCACATGCATGGCTTGTAACCAAATGAGTCGTGCCTAATTGATAACCTAAGGTCTCCTCGTGCATTAATTGGTATTCCATATTTTTGGAAACATGCTTTGGGCATGTTTTGTTCACGTGGCCTGATCTTGAAGAACAGTTGGATGGTATATTCGAGCTGATGAATTATAAGGCCACAAATAGCAAGAGATCATACAATTTGAAAGGTTGATTCACTTTATTTCAAGGGGATTCACTTTGAAGTAACATGTCACATTGATCCCTCAGAAAGCCTTTCAAGACCATATGCCCTTCTCTCCCTGTTGGTCCCATGACTCTTATCTCATAGCTCTTCTCTCAATCATTCAAGTAGCCAACGATATCCTACAGAAACCTTCATCATATCTATATATATATATTCATCGCTGCAAGCATTTTAGGACAACAAAAAAATCATTCACAACCTAAAGCCTTTGAACTTCAAACACTAGTGTCTTACTTACAACCTTTTTTTTCACATCTTCCTCGTCAAAAGTATCAAAACATAATGGGTTTTCGTTTAGCTGGTATCAGAAAGATGTCTCTTACAGCTATTCAAGCATCTTCAAAAGCCATGGATGTGCCAAAGGGCTACCTTCCAGTCTATGTTGGAGAGAAAATGAAGAGGTTCTTCATCCCTGTATCATATTTGAACCAACCTTCTTTTCAAGATTTGTTGAGTCAAGCTGAGGAAGAATTTGGGTATAACCATCCAATGGGTGGTCTCACAATTCCTTGCAGAGAAGATGTATTCTTAGATACCACCTCTCGCTTGAATAGGTGCTAGTTCCATGATGATGAAACAGACATAGATGTAGACTAAACTTGATCCATTTTTGTAACAGTTTCTTTCCAACAGTTTTGTTATCTTAATAGCAAAGAGTACAAATATATTCATCCGAATGAGAAGTTTCTTACATTAACCTTTTTCTCACATTTTGAGTTCGTTTATCAATCTGCATAAGAAATTAATTCACTAAAAAGTTAAATAGATTTATTTAAATCAAATAACTATTAATGTATCAAACTGAAATAAATGTATAGTCAACAAATTTATAAGATAAGCTTTAAATTAAATGATTGATGTAAAAGAAAATGAAGAGAAAAGGTCAAATACGAAAAATAGAAGTCTATCTGTGTGAACCATCTCTAATTTGCTTTCAGTTGTTCATCGTAAGCCCAGAAATCTTGTAAATAATGCATTGATCAATTATTTCTGGTAAACTTAAAGTGATGAATTATGGCTAAATCTTAATATAGATAAACTTAAAAAGTATGTCAAATAAATATAAAATTTGTTTAGCCATGGGTGCTTCACAATGAAATTAGTGGAAACAATAAACCTTCATGTATTAAGTCCATTATAGCAAGCCTTTGACAGTTGGCAGGGGTGAACCTCATATACGATTCGGGCCAAGAATTTTAATTTTACTTCTGTAAGTGTATAAAACTTAAAAAAAGTTCAAACCTGTCACAAATAAATCGATGCTTCTCTTAGAGTCCTCTTTTATTTTAACATTAACAGCAAGCAACCTTTAAATACTGTCTACCATAATTGGAGGAGAAGAGAACATAGTTATGGACAAAAAGAAACAATTAGAAATTCAATTAATTGTCATTGTTACTCAAACATTTGGTGATGATAGTTACAAGTTAGAGAAGGCAAAAGGGTAGTAAGTTAGTGTATGTATAGCTTAAGATTCTCCAGAAAATGGAGAAAAAGTGACTGCTAAAGCCAGGAGTGTGTAACATACGAAATATCATGTGGTACTGTCTTCGGTATGTTAAGCATAAAGTAGGATACAAGTGTGTAAGGTCTATTTATGCATTAATCCATATTCCATATTTTTGCAAACATGCTTTAGCCATGTTTTGTTCACGTGGATTGATGTTGAAGCACAGNTGTAACCAAATGAGTCGTGCCTAATTGATAACCTAAGGTCTCCTCGTGCATTAATTGGTATTCCATATTTTTGGAAACATGCTTTGGGCATGTTTTGTTCACGTGGCCTGATCTTGAAGAACAGTTGGATGGTATATTCGAGCTGATGAATTATAAGGCCACAAATAGCAAGAGATCATACAATTTGAAAGGTTGATTCACTTTATTTCAAGGGGATTCACTTTGAAGTAACATGTCACATTGATCCCTCAGAAAGCCTTTCAAGACCATATGCCCTTCTCTCCCTGTTGGTCCCATGACTCTTATCTCATAGCTCTTCTCTCAATCATTCAAGTAGCCAACGATATCCTACAGAAACCTTCATCATATCTATATATATATATTCATCGCTGCAAGCATTTTAGGACAACAAAAAAATCATTCACAACCTAAAGCCTTTGAACTTCAAACACTAGTGTCTTACTTACAACCTTTTTTTTCACATCTTCCTCGTCAAAAGTATCAAAACATAATGGGTTTTCGTTTAGCTGGTATCAGAAAGATGTCTCTTACAGCTATTCAAGCATCTTCAAAAGCCATGGATGTGCCAAAGGGCTACCTTCCAGTCTATGTTGGAGAGAAAATGAAGAGGTTCTTCATCCCTGTATCATATTTGAACCAACCTTCTTTTCAAGATTTGTTGAGTCAAGCTGAGGAAGAATTTGGGTATAACCATCCAATGGGTGGTCTCACAATTCCTTGCAGAGAAGATGTATTCTTAGATACCACCTCTCGCTTGAATAGGTGCTAGTTCCATGATGATGAAACAGACATAGATGTAGACTAAACTTGATCCATTTTTGTAACAGTTTCTTTCCAACAGTTTTGTTATCTTAATAGCAAAGAGTACAGATATATTCATCCGAATGAGAAGTTTCTTACATTAACCTTTTTCTCACATTTTGAGTTCGTTTATCAATCTGCATAAGAAATTAATTCACTAAAAAGTTAAATAGATTTATTTAAATCAAATAACTATTAATGTATCAAACTGAAATAAATGTATAGTCAACAAATTTATAAGATAAGCTTTAAATTAAATGATTGATGTAAAAGAAAATGAAGAGAAAAGGTCAAATACGAAAAATAGAAGTCTATCTGTGTGAACCATCTCTAATTTGCTTTCAGTTGTTCATCGTAAGCCCAGAAATCTTGTAAATAATGCATTGATCAATTATTTCTGGTAAACTTAAAGTGATGAATTATGGCTAAATCTTAATATAGATAAACTTAAAAAGTATGTCAAATAAATATAAAATTTGTTTAGCCATGGGTGCTTCACAATGAAATTAGTGGAAACAATAAACCTTCATGTATTAAGTCCATTATAGCAAGCCTTTGACAGTTGGCAGGGGTGAACCTCATATACGATTCGGGCCAAGAATTTTAATTTTACTTCTGTAAGTGTATAAAACTTAAAAAAAGTTCAAACCTGTCACAAATAAATCGATGCTTCTCTTAGAGTCCTCTTTTATTTTAACATTAACAGCAAGCAACCTTTAAATACTGTCTACCATAATTGGAGGAGAAGAGAACATAGTTATGGACAAAAAGAAACAATTAGAAATTCAATTAATTGTCATTGTTACTCAAACATTTGGTGATGATTGTTACAAGTTAGAGAAGGCAAAAGGGTAGTTAGTTAGTGTATGTATAGCTTAAGATTCTCCAGAAAATGGAGAAAAAGTGACTGCTAAAGCCAGGAGTGTGTAACATACGAAATATCATGTGGTACTGTCTTCGGTATGTTAAGCATAAAGTAGGATACAAGTGTGTAAGGTCTATTTATGCATTAATCCATATTCCATATTTTTGCAAACATGCTTTAGCCATGTTTTGTTCACGTGGATTGATGTTGAAGCACAGCTGGATGATACATTTTGGCTGACGAATTATATGGCAACAATAGCGAGAGATCATACATCCACTTTATTTCAATTGGATTCTGTTTGAAACATGAGACTTGTACTAGCTTCTATAACATGTCATATTGATCACTGAGAAAATCCTTCATGGACACACCATATGTCCTTGTCTCCCTGTTGGTCCCATGATTCGCAGCATTTTCCCCTCACTCATTCAAGTATCAAACGATTCTTACAAACTTTTCATCTCTCTCTCTCTATATATATATGTATGTATATATATATATTGATGGCTGCAAGCATATAGAGCAACAAAAAATAAGTCACAACCTACAGCATTTGAACATCAAAAACTAGCATCTTATTTACAACTATCTTTTCTCAACTTTCTCTTCCAAAGTATCATAAGAATGGGTTTTCGGTTACCTGGTATCAGAAAGGCAACCCTGGCTGCGATACAAGGATCTTCAAAAGTCTTGGATGTGCCAAAGGGCTACCTTGCGGTCTATGTTGGAGAGAAAATGAAACGGTTTGTGATCCCTGTATCATATTTGAACCAACCTTCATTTCAAGATTTGTTGAGTCAAGCTGAGGAAGAATTCGGGTATCACCATCCAATGGGTGGTCTCACAATTCCTTGCAGAGAAGATGTGTTCTTAAATACCACTTCTCGCTTGAATAGGTGTTAATCCTATGGAGATGAAACTGAATTAGATCGATGTAGACTAATTTTGACACATTTTTGTATCAAAGTTTCTTGTCTTGAAAAGATGTTCTCTCTCTCATTTTTGTTATCTTGAGCAATTGTATAAAAATGTTCATTTGAATGAGATATTTGGTACATGAACCTTGGTCTCACACTTTCTCTTCATTTATGTTGAAAAAAATATGTTGGATGTCTTAAATTCTTTATAAAAGAAAAATTGAAAGCTTTTTTCTTAATCCTATGGTAAAAGGAGATTAAGGAAGAACAGTTTTCATTTATAAAGCTGACAACCCTTGAAGAAAAAATAGGAATTAAAGGCACCGGTAACAATATGGAAGAACATCATGATATGCGAGTATTTGAGACAGAGATACTCCGCTTATAAATGTGTTACAATTTATGACAGATCAAATTCTATGATTCCAATGAAAAAGAAGTGAACGACTCAACTAATGAGTGTTTGCTAACAGTGTATGTAGTTATGGTTGGAGCATCTCTAGCTCGATTTCAAAACTTGGAAATATTTAACTAATATTGTGTTTTGTAGTGTTTTTTTTTTATAAGTTACTCTGTTTAAATTCAAAAGGTAAGCACCACAAGAAAAATTGGTACAAACCTGACCTAGATTTTAAATAGGCAAAAACAATAATGATCCGATCCTATGTTAGACCAAAAATCATTTTTATACACACAGACATAAACACACATAGATACATACATACATAGACAAACACACAGATACAACAAAGACACACATATACACACTCAGACACATATACATACAAACATAAACACACATGGAAACAGATACACACATACATAAACACAAACACAAACACAAAGCGAAGCGAAGTTCATTTTTTTCATTGAAAATGTGTCAATGTTATCAAACATTGAAAACATTTTGGATAACATGTAATGTGTTGGAAAAGTTATCCAACACAGTTTTCATTGAAAGCTAAAATGGTCAATTGATGTTAGATAACATCTAAAGCGTTGGATAAAGTTATTATGTTTCCAATAATAGAAAATCACTTGTTATTTTATATTAGTTGCATTATTATTTTTATATTATCCAAATAACTTAACATTCACGAGTCTTAATACATGGAAATAAATAAGCAACATGACAGAACAAGATAATACCGATTAATAGAAAAATAAATAACAAAGACTCAATTGAAGAATGTAAAAATTGAGTTGTCAATAGAAAAAAATTTTCGTATGATCCAACTTATTTTTTAGGCAATTTGAATCCATTGATTTGTCAACTTTAGATTAGGAATGACAAATAAATCCATCTATATAGATTTTGTCCAAATTCGTTCTTAGTTTAATGGGATATCCGCATTGATTGAGTACATATATAGTTCTTAATATTTAATTTTTTTCAATGGGTATGAAGACTAGATATATCGTTTCTCCAATGTATTTTCCCTCTTATAACTATATTGATTATACATTTTTTTAAAGATTATATTCAAACGGTGTATTAACAAATTTCAGTGAATCAAATACTTTTTAGATCTTCATAATTTCTACTATATTTATTCATTATTTATTTTGTTCACATGAAAATATTTGATTCTCAACGTATAAAGTTTACTCTCTAATAAAAAATCTTGACTTTTAATATTTAATTTTTATTTCATTTAAAAAACATTTTGTTTTGTTAAAATAATTTTTATTATTTTTTAACGGTTTGACTAATTTAACATCTGGAAAAAAAAAATCATGTATCCAAGGTTTTTTTTTCTTATCATATATATACATTTCTTTTAACAACTTCAATGTGTATCAAATTGCTTTTAAGGCACAACTTTATCACTTGTACATGTAACAATTTTATTTGTTTTTTATCTTTTATCATTTAAAATATTGTTTTAGTAATTTTTTATATAATTGTTTTAATTTTCTAATTCATTCTCGTAAATGTAATTTTAACATAATAGTTATGTAAAGGTGTTTCATTTATTATAATATAATAATTTAATATTATTTTTATGAAATCAGATGATGAAAAGATAAAAAAAATTGTCTAAATTTAAATTATTATTAATTTAGTAATTTTTCTCTGTGCAATTTCATTTAAATGGTGAATTATAATATTTATTAATTAGTTTTTAAAAAAGATAGTTTATTATAATTTAGAGAGAAAAAAAGTATAGAAACATTTGAAATACTTTTGAACTTGAATATTTTTTTTTATAATCTTTTAAAAATATTTTATAACTCTATTAACTTTCTTTCACCAAAGTTGTAAAATTAATTGATATTTTGATTATCATGATATTTTATTTATTTATAATTGAGTAATATTTTATATAATTATTTTACTTTTGTATAATTGTTATTTGGTATTTTGATTTAAAATTTATATAATTATTATTTTCTTTCTAATATTTGACATTAAAAAAATGAAAAATTATATTTTTATAATAAATATTTGATAATTTCATGTTTTCTTTGTCCTGATTTTATTTTTTATAGTAATTAATTAATTAATATTAAAATATTAAAGAAATGATATCCATTGTCCGGTGAAACTGGGATGAGACAATATTTCCTTAAGTATAAGGATGGGAATAGGATGAACTTTTACTTCTGACATAAAAATGGATAATAAAATTCGTTCCTTCTCGGTCCGGTTTTCATCTCTCTAGATCTCACCTTATAACAATGTTTCAATCTTCATTAATTGATAACATTTTTTTGACAACATTTTAATATTATCTATGTGTCATTCTGTAATTGGTTCAAAATTACTCTATAATTAATAATAATAATTATAAATATCAATATGGACCAATCCTTAAATTATATATTGTATTGTACTTTCCGTATCCTTGACAAGGGTGAGCAGAGAAAGCTGTTATGATAAGAATTGCATTGATTTTGATTGGAGACAGCTAATGCAACGATAATTATTAAGAGTGGAAGTCATTATCTTTTAGCTGTCATAAAACCATTGTAACGATGCATACTTTATTTTGACTAATCCATGAAATGACCAAGGGATTTGTATGAGAAAGTGAATATGTGAGATGTCTCAGCATTACATTGGCTAAAATCATTGGATTTCTCTCTGCACAAATCTCTTTCATTTTTAATAAATAACTGTGTACAAAGTAGGTCATGAGCTCTACAATCTTTAGTAAATATTGATGATGACCTATAAGACAACAACACATGTTTCATGAAACCTTGTCCCTCACATAGTCCATTAACCATTCAATTCAATGTTGTCTACACAGGCACTATATATACTCATTATTGCACTCTCAGCTAAAGTATCAAGCTTGAAGTATTTCTGTGTCAGACAAGTTCTTGAAAATCATTCTGTAGTTGTGTCTGAGTAAAAATCAAGAGAAACCATGGGTTTCAATTTACATGGTATTAGAAGAGCAAGACAAGCAGCTTCAAATGGTAAAGTGGTCCCAAAAGGGTATTTTGCAGTGTATGTTGGAGAAAAAATGAAGCGGTTCATGATTCCAATTAGATATTTGAACCAACCTTCATTTCAGGACTTGCTAAGCTTAACGGTAGAAGAATTTGGATACCATCATCCCATGGGAGGCCTTACAATTCCTTGCAGAGAAGATCTCTTCTTAAATATCATGTCAGCTATCTCTTGAATAGTTGTGGACAAAGATACTGACATGGATTAGTATTTAGTTTGAACAACCAATTTTGCAAAATATATGCAGGAATGAATGTTACTAATTTCGATGATTAGTTTACTGTAAGATCTTTTGTTGAGGAATTTTTTTCAGTCTAATTAATGGTAATGCCCCAATTTCTTTAGGAAGGGATAATTTTACAACTTAAGATGCCTGTGTTACAAAATTTCTATACTGATCTATGTCAGTCTGCTAGAGTTTAACATTTACTACCCACTCAATCTATAATCTATCCATGGAATAATCATATCCTATTACGAAAAGGTTAATCCGTTTATACAAGCACCCCAAATTAAAAGGAACATATATCTATGAAAAAGAAACAGATTAACAATTATATATATGTGTGTATATATAAATTTCCCTTGCCCTAGTTAGGAATTATGTGTTCTGTTCTTGCTTTTAAACTTGCTAAAATGAAGTCTAGTTTCTTTTTCTCTGTAGCAATCAAGTGTGATTGTAACGGGAAATGAAGAAAGTAACAAACAAACATAAAATGCAGAGAAGATGCTTCAACAATAAATCCATTCTCGATAAGCATAAAAAATTGTGTTTTTTTCAATCTGATGATTTTTCATTTCCCTATTTCTTGAGAAAGGGAGCTCTGTACAAGTTGAGAAGATGCCTAATTTACAAAATTGTCAATTCTAGTGTGTTAGCCTCCGAAGTTGTAAGATTCATTGTCCATTTAAGCAAGCAGTGATATGTTGGAAGACATCTTCGCTGCAAGGAATTGTGAGGCCACCCATGAAGTGCTCATATCCAAACTCCTCTTCAGCTTGACTCAACAAGTCTTGGAAGGAAGGTTGGTTCAAGTATGACACAGGGATCATGAACCGCTTCATTTTCTCTCCAACATAGACTGCAAGGTAGCCCTTTGGTGCATCCGCTGCTTTTGAAGATGCTTGATTGGCTGCAAATAATACCTTTTTGATACCAGGTAAACGAAAACCCATATCTGTATTGATGTGTTAGAAACTTGAGAAGAGAATGGTTTGAGAAAAGTCTTCAAAACAAGCTTTTGAATCTTTGAATGCTTTGAGAAGTGAATAATTTGAGTCCTAAATGCTTGTAGCCTTGAATATATATAGATAGAAGGATATGTAAGAAACCACTTGACACATGAATTATTGTTGAAGGAAGGGTGTGAGATAGAAGTAATGGGGCCAAATAAGAGACAAGGAATATGGTGTTGTCTTTGAGGATTTATACTAAGAATCAACATAACATGTATCCATGAAAGAAAGATTAATTGAATCATGTCATATGTCACACTTATTGAGGCTGTTGGGGGGCGAAAACATCATTGATGCACAATTCATGCTGTGTTGCTTATAATTTGGCATACATAAAATATGTGGTTCACAGTGTCTCTCATGATCATATGTTCTATGTTGGATATCTTCTTATCTCCACTGATTCAGAGCTAGCTCAAGCCTCAACATTTACAGGTTGCTTATGTCACCCTGATATTAGTTGGTACATGGTAGATATATATATATATATATATATATATATATATATATACATATATATCAACAGCACTATAATCTTATTTAAAGAAACATGTGAGATGTCTAAAGTATGTCTACTACATGTCTATAAATCATTGATGTAGATAGATTTCAGCTTTGCAGACGCATTTAGTTTCAAGTGGGAAATTCTGTTGGCCATTATATCAGAAGGTAGTGATGTGGGGTTATGCCCTACAACTTATCCATGAAAGAGGTCTCTAAGACAATACCATGTGATCCCCTGTCCTTCCCTTGACCCCATCAAGTCCTTGTCAATCATTCATTGTGGAATTAGATTGCAGTTGAAGAGTTCCCATTAGGGACTATATATACACTATTTCTTGCATCCTCAAGCATCAGAATTGAAGTAGTTATTTCTCATACTCATACAAGTCTTTTGACATTACTTCAGCATATTATTTCTTTGTGGATCAACAAAAACAATGGGTTTCCGCATTCCAGCTATCATTAGACAAGCATCATTTTCTACTGCAAAAACAACTCGCAAGGGACTTGAAGTCCCAAAAGGCTACCTTGCAGTCTATGTTGGAGATAAGATGAGGCGGTTCATGATTCCTGTATCATATTTGAATCAATCTTCGTTTCAACAATTGCTAAGTCAGTCAGAAGAAGAATTTGGATATGATCATCCAACTGGAGGTCTCACAATTCCATGCAAGGAGGAGGAGTTCATAAACGTTATCTCTCATTTGAATTAGCATTAAATCATGCTATTGGAGAGTTAGTAGATTAGATGAGGCAAATTTGTATAGAAGGCACTTCCTTTTATTGCAAATATTTTTCATTTTCTTTTCTTGAGTAAATCCATTGGAAATAGAAACAAGTTCCATAATGAGAATACAGAACTAGATATTGTTTAAACACCTTTTTCTTTCCCCCACATACCAATGAATTTTAATGTGATTATGAAAATTCTTCTGATATACAACAGGCTAACAGCATATATTACTATAGATTAAGTAGAGAAGCTCTATTGGACATATTAACAAAACTTCATATTGGTTGTTACTGTTTCCTGTTTCAATTTCAATACTCATCCTTGAGCCAAACAAGGAAGCCACAATACATTTGTCCTGAAACAGTTTGTGGCTAGAATTTTCAACTTAAGGCTCATTTAGTTCCTGGTTGAAGTGCCACATGATGACTGTCTAAACGAACCATGATATACACAATACTACAATTATTTAATTTTAGATTGTGCTTATCAGGTTTTCACCTTTTAATAGTGATTAACTTCGTTTCAAATATGAAATATTTCTCCATGATCCTAAGATCAAATTGTATCAGAGTGCAAAACCCACTTCCCGAAATGAATAGCCAATGAAGTAACTACTTAATCAAAGGAGATTTGATCATGTAAAACCAAATGTCTGTTCATTGATTGCTCTTTCATACTTCTGTAGACACTTAGACCCGTCACACTTAGACACAAAATATTAACCCAAACAGTTGAATAGGTTCATACTATCTTTATAATCATATATTATAAAAAATCACATAAATTTGTATATCCTTTATTATGTTATTCAGCGATAGATATAATATTTACTTATAATACAAATAATATATCATATCTCCAAAAGAAATACAATGATGTATCAATTAGTTTTTATTTGTATGAATTTTTTTATTCAATATTCATACGTTCAAATTTATCAGGACAACCAAGTTACTAATTTCTTATAGCAACCCTGATCATCCAGGATGAAGTTAAAGTTGTAAAAGTAACTAAAGAACAAAATATACAGAGGAGAGACTAAATTGTTGAATTCATTTTCATTAAACAAAAATGGAACAAACTTGTCCTTCTAATGATCTTTCATTTCTCATATTTCTCAAAAAGGGGATCCAAACAATTCGACAGGTGCCTATTGTACAAAATGTATCTACAAATCTACGTCTGTCTTCTACAGTACAAATTTATAGCTTATTCAATCGTGAAGTTATTTCTTGGAAGAAATCTTCACTGCAGGGAATTGTAAGACCACCCATTGGATGATCATATCCAAACTCTTCCTCAGCTTGACTCAACAAGTCCTGGAACGAAGGTTGGGTCAAGTATGATATTGGAATCACAAACCGCTTCATTTTTTCTCCAACATAGACTGCAAGATAGCCCTTTGGCACCTCCACAGCTTTTGAAGATGCTTGATTTGCAGATGCCCTTCTAATACCAGGTAGACGAAAACCCATTGTTGTTTTGTGTTTTCAGGGACTTCAGTAGAAAATGGTCTAAAAGACACTTGTTGAAAGTTTGAGCTTGTGAATTTAGAATGCTTCAGAAAGTAAAGGGTAGGTGTTGGTTCTAGCATGCTTTCAACCATGAATATATAGATAAAAGAATGGGTAAGTAGGATACTTGAATTATTGGTGAAGGAAGGTTATGAGATAGTAGTCATGGGACCAACTGAGAGACAAGGTCATATGGCAATGTCTTGACAGGACTCTCCCATGAATCATAGTAACATGTTATGACATATAATACAAGCCAACCTTCTGCATCAATTACCCCATTACAGAATTATATTGACACTTATTTGGGGTGGAGGGGACCGCAAACTTCATGTATGAAAGTTCACATGGTGTTGTTTTAAATTTAACGTACACAAAAAAGTGTGGTTCCTAGTAACTCAAGATCATGTATTCAATTTCAGTTCTGTTCTTGCCTCCAATTCCGATTGAGACCTCTCATGGTTTACAAGTTGCTTACTTAGACTCTGATATCAGTTGGTAGATAGAACATATATCAATGGCGTTGTCATTTATTTAAAGAAACACGTGAGATGTCTACAGCTTGTCGATCCTTGAAATAGCTACAGCACAATGAATGAACTAGCATTAGGTTTCACCTGTAATTCTGTTGGCCAATATCTCTGAGACAATACCATGTGATCCCTTGTCTCTCGGTCGACTACATCATAGCTCCTCCAAAAATCATTCATTGTGCTATTGGATTGCTTAGGCCATTGGCAGCTATATATAAAACAGCTTTCCAGTTTTCAAACAACACAAGTCATTCAGTCCTCAAACACCAGATTTCAGATATTCCTTTCTTACAATATTTCTTTGGCATCAGTTTGTCGTGTGGAGCAATCAACAATGGGTTTCCGCATAGCAGGTATTATTAGATGGACATCATTTTCGACAACCCAAGCAGTCTCCAAGGGTGGTGAGGTACCTAGAGGCTATCTTGCAGTCTATGTTGGAGACAAATTGAAGCGGTTTGTGATTCCTGTATCATACTTGAACCAACCTTCATTTCAAGAATTACTGAGTCGGACAGAAGAAGAATTTGGGTATGATCATCCAACAGGTGGTCTCACAATTCCATGTCAGGAGGATGAGTTCCTAAACGTTACCTCTTGCTTGAATGATTTGTAAAACAAGCAATTGGAGACAGATAGATCAGATGAGGCATATTTGTACAGAAGGGACTTTCTTTTATGCAAAGATTTCAGTTTTGTTATCTTGTATACTTGAAACATGTTGCTTGAATTAAGGTGCAACACAGAACATTGTTTGATCACTTTTAGCTTTCACCAAATCACAATGAACTCCAATATATATACAACAGTACCATTATCAAATTTCAGTCCATATATATATCAGGATATTAGCTTTTAATAGTTATTATTTGCACTTATTTTATTAGAGATATTAAAAATTTAACATGATTAAAAATAAAATCAATTTAAAATATATAACTAACAAAAATCTATTGGAATTAAATTAGACTTAAAAATTTATTTTTGACCCTTAAAAGAATTTCAAAATCTAAAGTGTATTTTACTATTACTATGCAACAATCATTCAAAAGGTTATTGACTTATTCTGAATTGAATAATTCCAAATATATTTTATATTTTTTTAATTATGCATTTCGAAACATTATTTATCCTCTGTATTCATTGTACGAAATGATATTTTTGTTTATCACATATAGTGTTGTGCAGGAAAAATCATGTAAGCTGCTTGCACCACCTTCATAATAATTATTAGCTGCACCATATAGTATAAAAAAAGACTAAAAATATTTTTCTTTATTATATCCTTACACTAACAGAAAAAGACTAAATATTAATATTACTGTATCAGAGTACTTCCATAATCGTCGTAGTAAAGAAAAGGAAAGAAGAGAATGCAGAAAAAAAGTTTATTCAGGAAAGTTATTTCTAGAACGTATTTCATATGTTTAGGAAAATTTATTCTGAAAAAATTATTTCACAAAACTTGTTCTGAAAGATTTTGTATACATTCTGGAAAGCTTACTCTGAAAATCTTATTATAAAAAGTTTGTTTCAAAATAAATTTCATACACTCTAGAAATATATTTCATAAATCTCGTTTCAAAAATCATATTTTGAAAATTTCAGAAAACTTTCTCTACAAAATTTCAGAAATATTTAATTCAGAAATTACTTTAGGAAAGATAAAATGGTTATTTTAAAAAATTAAGAGATGTAAGAATAAATTCTGGGGGTGCAGGAAGCAAAGGTGGAAATTGTAATCCCTGAATAGATCTACATATGAAAAAAAACTTATGCCCACGATGGTATTGGGTTGGGCTCCGTAGGTGGTTCTACTGACTCAGAAACGACGTCGTAAAAGCCACGATAGTGCTTCACAATTTTGGCAGAGGAGCATACGAACCCTAAAACTAGATGCTCAGATTGAGCTTCTACTTTTGAGACGAGGTCGTTGATTGTTATGACCATCAGCTCATCTTCGAAAAAGCACGGTCAAGATCAGCCAGAATTAAGTGGTCCTACCCCCAAATCCCAGCGAACCAAAATGGGCAAATCTGATGACAACGATAAGAAGGTAACCTTGTTTCGATTCGAATTCGGATAAAACCAGCAACCTCGTTTTCCAAATCGCCAAAATAGCGATTTCCCACAAATCCTGCGCCTTTGGGACTGCGTAAAGATAACACCTTGTTTCCGTCATTGATTCAAATTCGAAACTTTGATTTGCAGCTATTATATAGCACACTACAAGGATCTTAAAGTCAATGTTCAGAACAGCAAATGTGATTTTAGAATATCATATGATACAAAGTCAAAACAAATTCCTCTGTATGTTTTACTAAATAGGTTCTTTGTATTGATCATTCTAAAAGTATAACCATTTATGGGTTTTGTGTAGAACCTGGGTAAGAAACTCAAAGATGTGGAAATAAGCGTTCCAATAGTGTATGGAAACATAGCATTTTGGCTTGGGAAAAAGGCTAGCGAGTAAGTATCCTACATTGCCTCTACCTGATATAATGTTTTGCTTGAAGTCACTAAAATGGATTTTAAAGCTGAGAAAGTCGCCATGTTTATGTTATGTAAGGTATCAGTCGCATAAATGGACAGTATATGTTCGTGGAGCAACCAATGAGGATCTTGGGGCGATAATAAAACGTGTTGTTTTTCAGTTGCACTCTAGTTTCAATAATCCCACCCGTGTTGTGGAGTCACCGCCTTTTGAACTCTCAGAGGCAGGATGGGGGGAATTTGAAGTTGCCATCACACTTTATTTTCACAGTGATGTTTGTGACAAGCCTTTGAACTTGTGAGTTGTTGGTTACTGCTTTGAATTTAGTTTCCTGTAGCCTGCTTCCAGGAAAAAAAAAAATATTATTGATGCTCCGATTTCTTAGTTCAGTGTTGAGGTTCAAGTATGCTTGAAATTTTTTATGGTATGCAAAATGTCTACTATTTTCTGGCATGTTTCAACCGTCTACAACTTGCTTATGCTTCTGAAATTCTGCAAGAGTGCAGCTCTATTCCCTGCTAAGTTTAGTTAGATAGATAGAGCAATATGGCTGGAGTGCTTCATTATTATCAATGATAAGCTTGGATGACTATATAAATAACAT